GTATTATCTCCTAACTCTACTCATAGACAAGGCTGGTTAATCAACAAACATATTAGAGTGTCTGAGCTCATCCCTAATGGTCATGGCCTAGACAAATCCTTAAACTGGTCTCACCACATTTTGACACCACAAGCCGACTACCCCTACCCAACATTAATGTCAAGGATCTTATCCAATGGATACCATCACCAACAAAAGCATACTCCCTTAAACATACACTCCAAGCCATAGCCCAGCCCTTGCCATATACTCACTGGCATAGTCTTGTATAGTACAGTAATGCCACCCTAAACATAGTTTCTGTCTATGGCTCTCTATTCATCAAAAGCTGCTCACACAGGACAAACCAGCACTCTTATACAAAATGCAACCCAATGTATGTGTATTATGCCTCAATGAGGCAGTCACATAAGCATTTATTCCACCAATGTGGGGTTTTCAAGAATGGTGTGGAATGGTGTACAAGAGAAGTGTGGGTTTTATACGAACCCTAATTCATGGGAAGACTTCCTCATTTGGGCTTCCTCAAATTGGAAACAAAATTGAAGAAATGTAAAGTTCTAACCTGGAAGCTGACCTTGGCAAGCTATGTGTATCACATATGGCAAGAGAGAAACAATAGAATGTTTGCAAACAAATCTCTTACTCCTCTCCATACGTTGAGGACCATCACTAAATCAGTGCGATTAAGACTGTGCTCGATAGAGCAAAGCAAATGCTCCTATGCCGAAACTATCGCCAGTGAGTGGAATCTCCCAAATTCATTCTTTGACCCTACTCAAACAAACCCCTTCTTCACAGCATCATAATCCTCACCATGATCCTTGTTCTCCAGCCATCATGCTCATGCTCTCTCTATTTAAAGGTGCTTTGTGGTGAATAATTTCTTTACGATTTTATTTACAATAATTTTTTGTCGAAACAAGACATGTTGAATCCGATTGAATTTGAATGGCAGAGCCTGGTGTGATAGATCGCCAAGTGGGTGGAATGTCCACCACCTCTAGAGGGCCGTTATAGCGTCCTCACAGGATTGCAACAATCCTGGGGTTGAAACACTCAAAGTGTGTTGTGAAGTATTGTGATAGATGGTATTATTGATTTTGATAATTGGAAAAATATGTTTTCTTATGTGGGTTGATTCATAGGCATACTTTATACTTACTCTTGGATTTGTTATTGAATATAAACCTTGGCACTGTGTGTATATCTGTTCCTAAATGATCTTAATACTTGTTAAACTTGTTTTATGAAGAACATGGTGCCATGACCTTTTATTGTATGCTTTCGTAATATGTTTGTCACTATTAGAGTTCTTTCCTACTGAGCTGTCTAGCTGACTCTTACTATTTTTCAGGATATGGCACTAGAGGAGATCAAAATGGTGAAGGTATTTTTTTATTCTTTGTAAGTAATAATTCATTAAAGGCACTCAAAATAGTGTAGGTATTTAATTGTGCAGTGGAGACAATAAATTCTTACTTATTCAGGTTTTAAAATGTGTCCATGAAGAATGTTATGAGTAATAAGGTGGTATTTTTGTTATATGTAATACATGGAGGACTGAGTATTGAACAATTTATTTTGATGAATAAGGTGGTATTTTTGTTGTATGCAATATTTGGAGGACTAAGTATTGAACAATTTATTTTGATGAATATCCTGATTGGTTGGTTATTGTCGAGATTCAATGAATAATTATTGTAGAAATTTATAAATAAAGACTTCTGTAATGGTTATTAAGCAAGTTTCTTATTATCACACTCTGAATACTCGGGTGGAAGTTTTCCTTCCTTTTTTTAGGCGTTCCTGGATTCGGGGTGAGAGGGATTGCCTTACACAATGGAAGGACTTAGACCCCAAAAATTTATGAACTAGTATACTTCTTAACTTTGGAAACCGTTTAATATATCCTTGACAGACCAGATGGATATACCTTTGGTCAACTGTGGACTAAAAAGGTAGTAGTATAATTGCTACTTTATTTTCAAGAAACCTTATACAATTCATGTGATTCTAGATTTGTTTGTAGTTTGATAAAATAAAATTTGTAGTATGAAGAGTCGAGTGAGAGTTGCATCAGAAACTCACTCGGTTATCAAGTGATTGTGGAAAAATACACAAGAAAACTATAAATGAGCTGATCAGATGAATGACTAAGTATATCAAGCGACTCTTGGATGACTCCATGGGAACTTCATAAATGGGAAGTTTTGTATAGAAACAAACCACTAGTTTATTTTAGGTAACTTCACAAGGAAGTAGGAAGAGATCATTCAGAGACTGTTATTCAGAGACTCCACAAAGAAGACGACAAAGTCAAAGTAGATCCACATTGTGTGTAAGATAGCAATGGAGTGGGTAAAAGAGCAGGTGCAGGGGAATTTAGCAAGGAGCACTAATGGGAATCGGGAACAGATAAACTACATTGCTTTCTTTATTAAGTATTTTGTCTCCTTGATGTCACATATATTGTAATTTTTATTTTTTTGGTCATCCCAAGTCCAGTTTGCATTTTGAAGATTAAGCTCAGATGATGCTTCATGGCACTGATCAAGACACAAACACAACAGGAAATGTAATAAGAGAGGACACTTTCCAAGTTTCTTAAATAAATTCAAGTGATTTTGTAACCTTGAAGAAGTTTTTAAAAAATATTTTTGGCTGAAAAACCTGTATCTGTTCAAAACAAAGCTTTAAATGGTGTACACATAACTTCTTTTTTTTTTTTTTTTTGATAAGTAAATGGTTTACACAGAACTTGAGCATCTGTACTGAAAAAAACACTGAGTTGAGTACCTGTACACAACAATTGAGCAGTAGTACACAAACCTTGAACAACGATACTCAATTCGGAGTTTGTAAACCAAGCTTTTCTAGGGTTCCATTTGTTCTAGCATAAATTTTGTACATAGGAAAATATTTTTCAAGTAGAATGTTTTATAGAAACCATTTTCCTTCTATTTTTCGGTGTATGGTTGAGGTTTTGATACTAACAACTCTCAGAAAATGCATAATAAATACTTACATGATCATAAATATAAGTTGATCTATAGGGAAGATTTATGTGAGTATATGTAAGTACACAAATACATCTACAACTTATATATACATGTATATAAATTTGCATATATATGTGTAAAGATATATATGCATGTATGTACTATGCTGGTGTATATGTATGTGTATATCATCCTTTAAGCTGTATTGTGACATACACTCGAGACACCAAGAACAATGAACATAAACTGAGTTTTGGGAACAATTTGTCAGCTAATTTATCTTAGAGCTTGTATGGTATGTATATACATTTTAAAGAAGATGGTCAAGGCTATTGATTTGCTGGTTTACTATTGCTAAGAGAGGGTTCAGAGGTTCAATCCAGGTTTGAGGTCACTTCAGAGGTTACCAGAGGTTGAGGCAAGTTTTTTTTACTAATTGACAACTGCAGAACCTGTGTTCATATACATATTCTTGTTTTAGTTCATTTTGATGTCTCAAACCTCCATGTATGCTTGTTTTTACTAGTTTAGCTATCTGATATGAGCCTATATACTTGATATCGTGCTGTGTGTTGAACTCTTATCATCTGAGCAAGTTTCTATAGTTGAATCAAGGCCATTGAAGTTGAGCTTTGCACAGGGATATGGTCTTTAGTGGTTTTAACCTGTGAAACCTTATGTTTTGGGGCTTTCATACACATTGCTTATATTATTGAGATAATCATTTGAGCATATGTATAATGTTGACATGAGACTATGAGAGCCATTTAATGGTCTATGTTAATACGAATTTCCAGAAATACCCCTCAGTACAATGAAGTTTTAGAGCTGTTGTTTAATACTTTAAGCTACACAACCTCTCTTATCTTTTGTAACAGCCTGAGTATTATTGTTATTCATTCATTTCAATGTATTTGGTGAGCTATGAGAGCTTGTAAGGTCCAAGCAGGGGTGCTTAGGATAGGGGGAGTGCTGTGTTCACATTGTTGTGATCTAGGGTGTATACAGAGTGAGAGAGAACTGTGTGTGTATCTACTTGCATTACAACTAGTAGAGCTTACACTTGCTGAGGCCAGGAATCAAGATTTTTAATCTCTAGTTGAGAGAGATTTTCCTTGTAAAATCACTGAGCACTTGTGGTTGAATGTGTAAGCCTTATACAACATTGAAATTTGACTAAGTATTAAAGAAGAATGGAGGGATGTGTGTTTGAAGAAGGAACCAAGAAGGGGGAGTAGAAGACAAAGAAAGAATGCTTCATCCTGGAAAGGGGAGAGAGAGGTTAGGAGTCTCATTTCCTATGTTAATTATGAAGGCAAGGATGGGATGGTAAGGGAGAGGGGAAGTGAGAGGGGTAGAGGGAGAAGAAATGGGGTGAGGGGCGCCATGGTTTCCTCATGAAGTTCTGAATCATATCTTGTAATATCCATGGTCTCAATGACATGAATAAGAGGAGGGTGGTGAAGTTGGCAGTAAGGAAGTGGGATGCACATATGGTCTGTTTGAAGGAGACAAAGCTTGCCTCAATTTCGGATAGGATGGAGAGGAGTCTTTGGGGTGGGCGTTTTGTTGAGTGGGAATCGTTGGATGCCGTTGGCACTTTGGGGGGTATTCTTGTCACGTGGGATAGGAAATGGGTGTCGAGGGTGGACATTTGGAGGGGGAGGTTCTCTATTTCCTGTGCTTTTATTATGAATGAGGATGGATTTAGGTGGGCTTTCTCCGATGTGTATGGTCTAGTGGATGATGGGGAGAGACACATTCTTTGGCATGAGCTTGACTTTGTGAGGGGGCTATGGGCCCTTCTGTGGTGTGTTGGTGGGGACTTTATGTTGAAAAGTTGGGGTGTGATTAGGGGTGAGGTGAGGGGGAAATTCCAGGAGTTCCATTCTCATGGGCAGTTCAAGAAATCCTTGAATGCTACTTTCATTGCATTGATTCCCAAGAAAGGTGGGGCTACTGATGTAAAGGATTTTAGATATTAATTTGGTGGGGTGTATGTACAAACTTATTTCTAAAGTCCTTACTTCGAGATTGAGGGATGTCTTGGATGGAGTTATCTCAGAATCCCAAAATGCTTTTATCTGTCGTCGTCAGATCCTTGATTTTTCTCTTGTTGCCAGTGAATGTGTTGATTTTAGATTGAGTAGTGGTATTCCAAGAGTTCTTTGCAAGCTTGATATTGAAAAAGCCTTCAACCATGTGAATTGGAGTTTTCTACTGTATATGTTGCCATACTGGAGAGATTGGGTTTTGGGGAGAGATGAAGGAGGTGGATCAAGTTCTATATTTCGTCTATCAGGTTTTCAGTTCTGGTGAATGGGGCCCCATCTAGCTTTTTCTGGAAGTTCTCGAGGTTTAAGACAATGAGACCTCTTTCTCCTTTTCTTGTTCATTATTGTTATGGAGGCTCTCAGCACATTGATGAGGAGGGCCATGGGTTTGGGCTTCATTAGGGGCTTCAGGGTGGGTAGAGATTTGGATCGACCAACGATATTTCTCATTTACTCTTTACAGACGACACTTTGGTTTTGTGTGATGTAGATGTGTCCCAATTGAGATGCTTGAGGTGTGTTTTGGTTTGCTTCCGGGCTATCTCTGGGCTAAAAGTAAATGTGGGAAAGAGTTCCTTAGTCCTGGTGGGGGAGGTGCACGACATTGCTAATCTTGCTGCAGTTCTAGGGTGTAGGGTTTCTCATTTCCCTATTTCTTATTTGGGATTGCCTTTGGGTTCATCATTGAGAAGGGTGAGGGGTTGGGACCTTGTGATTGAGAGGTTTGAAAAGTGGCTTGTCGGGTGGAAGCAATACCTCTCTAAGGGTGGGAAGGGCACCTTTATGAAAAACACGTTGTCAAGTCTTCTTACTTATTTACTCCCTCTCTTTCAGATTCTGGCCTCCGTGGCTGATAGGATCGAGAAACTTTAGCAGAACTTCCTTTGGGGTGGATTTTCGGGGGGGGGGGGGGGGGATGGATTCAAATATCATCTTGTTCGGTGGGACCAGGTGTGTAGGCTTATTCAGTTGGGTAGCTTGGGTATCAAGAGAGTGATCCCTTTTAATAGAACCTTGCTAAGGAAATGGCTGTGGAGGAAGGTCATTTGATGCTGCTATGGGGAGGAGAGGTGGGTGGTGCTCCCAAGTGGTTACATCTTCCGGTGGCATTGGTCTTTAGAAGTTTGATGAATTTTTCTAACATATCAAATTCAGAATTCGAGACGGCAAGAACACTCGGCTTTGGAAGGATTTACGGTGTGGTGAGCGTTCATTGGCTTATTTGTTTCTCAGGCTTCTTAGGATTGCCATTGACAAACATGCTTGGGTAGCTAACTGTTATCGGCTTGATAGTGGGAGGATCACTTGGGATGTGCGTTTTCGGAGGCTATTTCATGATTGGGAATTGGACGATGTTTCTAACTTGCTGGTTACGCTGTATTGACAGAAGCTAGATGAGGGAGGCCCTAATTCCCTTATCTGGGTGCCCTCCTCTAGGGGAATTTTGATGTCCAATCCTTTTTTAGCTGCCTCTTAGGCTTCACAGGGGCTGATTTTCCTTGGAAGACAGTGTGGTGCTCGAAGGCTTCCCTTAAGGTGGCTTTTTTCATTTGGACTGCTACTTGGGGCATGATTCTAACTTTTGATAACCTCAGAAGGAGAAGACAGATTACGGTCAATTGGTGTTGCATGTGTAAGAGTGATGGAGAGTTAGTGGATCATCTTCTTTTGCATTGTCCTGTGGCTCATGACTATTGGAGTTTGATTTTTGGTTTGTTTCGTATATCGTGGGCCATGCCCCAGTCCTTGAGATGTTTGATTGACTTTTGGAGAGGGTATGGTGTGGGGTCACACGCTTGTCATCTTTGGAGGGTGGCTCCCTTCTCTGTTTGGTGGGGGATCCGGAAGGAACGAAATTGTAGATCTTTTGATGGGGAGGAATTTCCCTTAGGAATGTTAAAATACCACATTATTAGTTTTATGTTTTGTTGGGGGATGGGGAGATATTGTACATCTTTCGAGGAATTTGTTGATATTTTGGGTTCCTTGGGTCCTTATGTCCCTCTTTTCTTTAGGCTTTGGCCTCTGTGTATTCTTGGAATGTGTTCCCCTTTTGAATGCTTTTTAATACATTTTTACTTATCAAATATATATATATATATATATGCATCACCAAACACCTAACATGATTTTTATTACTCACATCAAATTTTTTGGTAGCTCTACTGATAAAAGCATTTTTTCCATCAAAACAGCAAAGCCGAACAGGAACTAAAGGGTTCAGTGAAAAGAATATAGTTGTTAAGTAACCAAAAGCTGAGTAGTACAAGGATCACTATGAGTTAAGTTGTATACTAAATAATTGAATTTTCCATAACCTATGAATAATGAGTGTGTTACTTTAAAGTCTACTATGGTTGTAGACAGTGAGTCAAATAGTGATTCAAAATTGATAAGGTTGCCTTGCTCACTTCAAATTTTAGGAGATGTTTTTAAGCAAACATTAAAAATGAAACTAAAAGAGGGAACACTTCTAAATCTAGAAGTAACAAATAATTAAAAGATAAGAAAGGAGTAAACAAAGTGAAATTGAGTGTTGAAATTGTCATGAGAAAGGACACATGTAGGTTGACAACCCTAAAAAGAAAGGAAAAAAGAAGTCTAGAGCTATGCAAGTTGTTGTTTCTGATTCCGATTCTTCCCTTTCCGACTCTTCCAAGTGTAATAATGATAATCCTCATGAAGCTTTTATAGCTATGATCAATGATATGTTTTTCATACTCCTGTAATTAATGATTCTTCTAACTTCTTTACTTCGATTGATATTGACTCTGAAGGACTTAGATCAAGAGATTGGAGAACAAGAAACAACAGAGAACAACCTTTAAAAACCTTTCAAGAACTATTTTAGGAGATAACTAATCAATGTTTAAAAGGCTTACAAGAAGCTTGGTGAGAAGACGACAACTGCACACGCACACAGACAGTGTCATTGAGACAGATTAAAGAAGACAATGAGAAAGCAAATCTTCTTGGGAAGGTGACATTTCTAAAAATAAGAGGTAACTCAAGTGGTTCCTCATCCAAAATACTTGTTGTTAGAATTAATTGTCCAAAAAAAAAATTTGTTGGAATTTGAACTGAAGAAATTACAAGAGAAAATTTATAATTTTGCTGAAGTAACAAACTTGATAAGCTTTTTTCATTTAGGTAAGTCTATAGGTCAGAAGACTGGGTTGTGGAAACATTTCTAAGTCAAAAATTGTTTATTCCCCATAACACTATAATACAACTACTTACAATATGACACAAACATTGTAAATCCTAACAAATCAATACATGAACACAACAAATAATTCAAATATGTTTTCATGAATTAATATAATATGGTTTTTATTGATTGATGGGGGGACCGCTTAGGCATTAAGAGCTGATTTGAGGGTGCATTGGGATGGGACGAAAATGGGTACTGTTGAGCCTTATTTGCTGACTACAAAGAGTTCTGAATAGGGCAGAGTTATGTGTACTTCAGATGGCTGGGATCCAAAAGGTGGGGCTCTATTCTTTGATAATGCTTTACCTGTGGTAGAATGTTCCTCTGAACTGGACATCCCACCACCAGTATGGGAGAATAGGGACACAATTGGAATTGATAGTCCATTGGCAGTAATTAGAGATGTGCAAAGGGCTGCTAATTTGGATGGCAGTGATAAGGAATGGTTTATGGAGTGTATACGAGGGACAAGTAATTTGCTGGGACTATCATGTGCTGGGGAGGAGAAGCAAACTCATGATATGTTTCAAGTGGTTTAGGATGAGTGGGAAATGGTGAAGACTATGAAGAGCCCTGGGTGGAACGGGGGAGAGAGCGGAAAAGTCTGTTTTCCAATGTCAACTATTGATGTGTGTCGTGGGCAACAAGCTAAAACATGTTAAAGAGTGGCCAAGTTTGAATTTGTAAAGTGCCACTACTACCTCTAACTACTAATATAGCTAGGGTGAGTAGGGATATCCCAAGGGAAAGGAAGCAATATTGATATGGAAACAACGTTGGACTAGTACGTCGAGTGATCAAAGATGTTTTGATTGGTTAATTAAACTACAAACTAAGCTACACAAATTTAATATAAAACAATTAAAGTAAATAAAAGGGCAGAGAATAAGAGAGAGGGATCTTGGGACTTAGAGGTCACCACTAAACATTACCTTTCTAGACACTTAATGTGTAATGAATGAGGGGAAATGTATGTTGCAATACTAGTGTATGTGATTGACTGAATCAACAAGCATAGATGACTAACTAAGTATACATTGTCTAAACAACCTAATGAATAGGACAATATATCAAACTAAGCCATTATTCCTTCCTTTAAGCTCACAATCAAAACACATTAATAAGTTAGAGAATTATACTACTTGCATTCATAAGCATGAAACATCAAACAACAAGCATGGATTGTCTTCCCATCTAAGAAAGTAAACTATACTACAACTAAGCTAGGGACATGAAAATTAAACTAATTAAACTAAGGTAGGGGCACAATCCATCAAGAAATGAGTATGAACTATAAAACAAACCACAAGAGTATTCCATTAAAGCACCATGCCTTGACAATCTCTAGATTCATAGCATCAACACACATAGACATGCATCCATAACACAAAACCTAGAGATAAACACATGAACATCTATTCTAGCATACATAGACATATGAATAAAATGAAATGATCAATTGGAAGCATTAAACCACATAAATCATTGTACAAACATGATTCATATATAAATCAAGTATCAAGACAAGAATTACAACACAAATCCCCTCAAAATACAAACCATCAAGATCTAGAAGGCATGCTTAGGGCTAACTCTAGCCCCAAGAAGATGTTTAGCCACTCATTGATGTAGTCATCCAACCCTCAAGGGCTATCTCTATGGTAGGAATGATCTTCTTCTTGATGGAAACCCTAGATGAATGGAAGAACTCCCAAATGGTGTGTATCTCTCTAATCTCTAGACTCCTCCAACCTCTCTTTCCAACTTCTACATGATTTTTCAAGATTGTGTATGTGTTTCCTTGTAAAAATGGCTCAAAATCCTTATATAGGTAGCTCAAGTGTCACACCTAATGGTTAGACCTTGTGCACTAGGGCCCCTTTAATGATTGCACCACGAGTCATCTTTTAATTAGCTGGACTTTGTTTTTTTTCGCACTTGAAGGGGTTCGATCGATCGAAGTGTGGTGAGATCAATTGAAACAAGGTGATGCCTTTTGGAATACTGACAGATCTGAGATATTTTTGAGATATTTTGGGAAAAAGACAAAAATGGTAGGTGGGGATAAGATCAAAGAAGTTCAATCGATCTAAAGAATGTTGGATCCATCGAAGATGGAAATTCTTGAGGATAAGGACATGAGGCTCGATCCATCTTGGCATGCCTGGATCAATCATTGTGAGATCGATTAAAGATTTGTCTGATCGATCGAAACTTGCTGTTTTCCACCACTTTGCTTCCACTTTGCTCCTTTCTTCTATTCAGCTTGAGATTGTTTCTTTTATACTTTAATTAGGCTAAATTAACTTATTTTGGGGATAAGTGCCTGAAAAGGGGAATAACATGAAATTGGACTAAAACGGGAAATAAAATAGGATAAAGTCCTAGAATACCCAAGCTTAAGGGGTTTAAATACACACTTTTCAGCGCTCATCACACCCCCAAACTTAAATATTGTTAGTCCCTAGCAATGAACTATGAAGTAAAGGAATGAAATGAACAACTATACAACTATAAACTAGAAAGTAATAAATGGATAACGCCACTGTTGTAGGGAACACAATTGCATTTAGCACATGCAACAAGCCTTTTAAACCCCTAGGTTACCCCTAGTGGATGAGTGAAGTCTCGTAAGGGTTTCTAGAAATGATACCCATAAACATTAAGCTCTTTCTCACTAAAGAGGCACCAATATTCCAAAGAAGCATTGGGAGAAAACTACATCAAGTATGCAATTTTTTAACTATTTCCAAGCAATCTCCTAAAATTTCAATATCAAGCAAACAAATATGGTCCTCCACACATCAAGAAAATGATCATTTAAATCAAAACAACTCTAGAATTCTTTTTGAGTGGACCGGCATCAAATATGTTTCTATCTAAGCCAACTAAAAAAATGATCACATCTTTATCCTCAAACTAGCACACAAATCTAGTACCGATCATCAAGACAAAGAGTGAACCTTTTATTAAATCTTTATTCAACTAGGTGCACTTATTTTTTTCACTCGATATATATATATATTTTTTCTAATCCTAAGGATCAAAGATGGAAGCATAGTGCAATATGTTGATCTATTAAGCTTTCTAGTGATCCATGAGGTTGAGCATTAGGTCAATGACTCCCAAACCGGACGGCTTTAGGGCACTAGGTGTTTAAACACCCCTAA